ATAACGGAAAAGAAGAAGAAACCGATAACGAAGACGAAGAAGGAAAAACCGATAACGGAAAAGAAGAAGAAACCGATAACGAAAACGAAGAAGGAAAAAACGATAACGAAGAAGAAGGAACCGATAACGAACTCGAAAACGAAGAAGGAAAAACCGATAACGAGAAAGAAGAAGGAACCGATAACGAACTCGAAGACGAAGAAGGAAAAACCGATAACGAAGAAGTAGCAACCGATAACGAAGAAGTAGCAACCGATAACGAAAACGAAGAAGGAAAAACCGATGACAAAGAAGGAACCGATAACGAACTCGAAGACGAAGAAGGAAAAACCGATAACGAAGAAGAAGTAATCGATAACGAAAACGAAGACAAAGAAGGAAAAGCCGATAACGAAAAAGAAGAAGAAGAAAGCGAAGAAGAAGCAACTGATAACGAAAAAGAACAAGAAGCAACCGATAACGAACTCGAAGACGAAGAAGGAAAATTCGATAACGAAGAAGAAACCGATAACGATAGTGATAAGGAAGAAGAGAAAAACGGAGGAGTAAGCCAAGATCGCGACAACGAAGAGGAAAAAGAAGCAGGAGCCGATAACGAACAAGAAGATAACGACGGTGAGAGAGATAACGAAGAAGGAAAAAGCGAAAAAGCAATCGGAAGACAAAAACGAAAACCAGAAGAGAAGAAGGAAAGAAAAGACCAAATGGCGAGACAAAGAGAAATGAAAAAGGAAGAGGAAGAAGCGAAGAAGAAACGCGGAGATAAAACAACTGAAGAAAAAACATGGAAACGAGAAGACAATAAAGAAGAAAGAATAAGACAAGATAAAACAGATAAAGAAGAAGAAAAAGAACAAGACAAAGCGAATAAAGGAGAAAGGAAAATACAAGAAAAGAAAATAGATAAAGAAGAAGAAAAAGAACAAGACAAAGCGAATAAAGGAGAAAGGAAAAGAAAAGAAGACAAAACAAATAAAAAAGAAGAGAAAGAACAAGACAAAGCGAATAAAGGAGAAAGGAAAATACAAGAAAAGAAAATAGATAAAGAAGAAGAGAAAGAACAAGACAAAGCGAATAAAGGAGAAAGGAAAAGACAAGAAAAGAAAACAGATAAAGAAGAAGAGAAAGAACAAGAAGACAAATCGAATAAAGGAGAAAGGAAACGAGAAGAAAATAAGAGAAATAAAGAAGAAGAGAAAAAACAAGACAAAACGAAGAAGGAAGAAAGGAAAAAACAAGAAAAGAAAACAGATAAAGAAGCAGAGAAAGAACCAGACAAACCGAATAGAGGAGGAAGGAAACGAGAAGTAAATAAAACAAATAAAGAAGAAGAGAAAGAACAAGACAAAACGAAGAAGGGAGAGAGAAAACGAGAAGATAAAACCAAAAAAGGAGGAGGGAAAAAACAAGAAAACCAAAACGCAGAAGGAGAGACGAGCGACCGAGAAGACATAACAGATAAAGAAGAAAAGGGAAAGAACAAAGGAGAAGAAAAGAGACTAGGGAAAAACAGGAATAAAAACGAAGTAAAGCCAAGACAAGAAAGAAGGAGGAAAGAAGAAGAAGGAGGAAAAAACAGAGAGGAAAAAAAGAAAAAGGAAAATGATACGAAACAAGAAGAGAAAAGAAAGGAAGTGGAAGGGAAAGAAGAAAAGGAAGAAAGAGAAAACGTAAAAATCAAACGAAGAAGAAAGAAGGAAGAGGAAGAGAATGGAGGAAATGCAGAAGGAAAAGATGAAGAAGAAAAAGAGGAAGACGAAAGAGAAGAAGAAACAACACAAGAAGACGATTACGAAACACAGGGAAAAGAGGAGAGTAAAAAGGTGGCAAAGAAAGGGACGAAGAGAAAGGAAAAGATAAATGGAACAGAAGAAAGGAAAACACAAGGAGGAAAGCCGAAAAAGGAAGAGGGAGAGAAAGGAAAAGGAAATAAGATAAAGAAAGAGGAGGAAGGAGCAACTGGGAATAACCACAGAATAGACAAAAAGAAAGAAAGAGAAAAGGAAGAACAAAAGAGAGGAAGAACCAAGCAAAGGAGAGGGAAAGAAGACGATGATAGAGGTGAAGACACAAAGGAAGAAGAAGAAGAAGACATAGACGAGGAAGACGATAACGATGGACAAGAAAAAGGGAAGAATAAAGAAGTAGACAAAAGACTGAAAGACAAAGCGAAGAGAGGGACAAAGAAAATAGAAAAGATAAATGAAGAAGAAGAAGAAGGGAGGAGACAAAGAAGAAAAGCGAAAAAGGAAGAGGGAGAGAAAGGAAAAGGAGATAAGATAAAGAAAGAGGAGGAAGGGGCAACTGGGAATAATCACAGAATAGACAAAAAGACAGAAAGAGAAAGGGAAGAAGAAAGTGGAAAAATCAAACAAAGAAAAAAGAAAAAGGAAAAAGGAAATCAAGCGAAAGCAGAGGAAGGAGAAGAAGAGGAGAATAAAGAAGACGACGGAGACGATGAAGAAAGAGAAGTGGAAGAAAAGAATAAAGGAGGAGCAAAGAGAATGGTGAAGAGGAAAGCCTGTGATAAAAGCGGCGAAGGGAAAATACAGAAAGACATCGAAATAGAGAAAATCGAAAAAACGAAACAGAGGAAGAGAAAAGGAAAAGATAAAGATTTAGAAGAGATAGAGAGAGAAGAAGAAGCAGGAACAGGCGATGACGTGAGAAAGGGAATTAAAGAGGGGGCCGATAAAGGAAGGAGAAGAGAGAGAGTAGCGAATGTGGAGAAAGAGGAAGAAGAAACAGCCGTGATAAAGCAAAGAAGAACACCAAGGTATGAGGGAGAGAGAAAACCAAAGAAAGAAGGAGATAGAACACCAGAGACGGAAGGGAAAAGGAAGGGAAATAAAATGGGAGAAGGCACACCAAAGATAGATAAAGAAAAAATACAACAAAAGAGGAAAGGAGCAACACCCGATAAAGAAGAAGAGACAACCCCCAAGACCGGAGGAGGGAGACGACCAAGGAACGAAAGAGGGGAAGGCAAGGAGAAAGAAAGAAGGGAAATACAAGAGAATAAAGATAGGGGAATCACGGAAACAGAGGAAGAAAAATCTCCCGAGAGAGAAAGGAAGAACAGAAAACAGAAGAATGAAAGAGTGGGAAAAGAGAAAAAGGAAAACTACAGAGCGCAACCAAATGGAGGAGAAGAAATATCGAAGAATCCAATTGAGAAAACACAAGCGAAGGAAGGAGACAGAAGAACAAGAGAAAAAAGAGAGGGGAGAACAGAAGATGAATGGATATCAAGACACGAACGAAAGGGAAGAGCAATAAAGGAGAGAAATAGAAATGAAGAAGATTACGAAGCAGAGGAAGAGACACAGCAGGTAATTTTCTCGAAATAATTGCAACATACGAATTCATAATAACATGATAATATGAAAAAAAATACGATAATGAAAAGTGTATACCGGATAATCGAAGTAGGTAAAATAACGAAATGCATTACGAAATAGTGTAGATCCATCCATTGTGGTTCTGTTAGAGAAAGTGGTGATTGAATGACATAAATCATATTGGGAATTTTAAATGATTATTTAAGATGTGTCTTGTTTATGAATGTTCTTTCTCCTTTTTTCTCTCTCACATTATTATTATTATTTTTAGTTCCACGCAATTCCTCGGCCGCCAAAAAGGGACATCACTTCAAGCTGTGAAAATAATCCATTTCCACGTGAGTACTCTCTCTCTTTTTCTTTTTCTTTTTTTTTCTTTTTCTTTTTCTTTTTCTTTTTCTTTTTCTTTTTCTTTTTCTTTTTCTTTTTCTTTTTCTTTTTCTTTTTCTTTTTCTTTTTCTTTTTCTTTTTCTTTTTCTTTTTCTTTCTCTTTCTCTTTCTCTTTCTCTCTTTCTCTTTCTCTTTCTCTCTCTCTCTCTTTATCAGTCTCTCTCACTCTGTGTGTGTGTGTGTGTGTGTGTGTGTGTGTGTGTGTGTGTGTGTGTGTGTGTGTGTGTGTGTGTTTGTGTGTGTGTGTGTGTATGTGTGTGTAGCTCTCATGATGACATGCATTCAACTTCGACTTAAATATTAACTCTAGACAATGGATTTACTCTAAATTATGTGCATTCTACACACAACTTTATTCTTCTTATACTTATTTCAGCAAAATCTTGTACGAGATATAAGAAAACCTTGAAAATGCATAAGTTTGAAAAACTCAGGGTTAAAGAATGCAGACTAAATCTTACAGTTTATCCTAGATACAGAGCGAAAATTTTAAACTTTGGAGGTGATTTCAGACTAAGACTCACTTTGGACACGCGCACCCTCACATAAACTTTAGAATCCTAGAGTCCTAGAGTTCTACTATAATATAATAAACTTAATAGGTAATCCTCCTTTCGAATCTCCTGTAATTGCTATATACGTTGTTGGGTCAATGTTATAAAACAGCATATTATCGTTTTTTGTTTTTCTTTTTTTTTTGTTTTTTGTTTTTCGTATTTTGACTGGAAGCGTGATGTATGAGGAGTTTAAATCCAATTTCTTGAATGGATGCATATATACAACCATGGCACTTCGTATATAAAACTATATATTTCTTGTAACCCCTTCCGTTTATTGATAATGGTATCTTTCAAGAGAATGCTCACAAAAGAAAAAAAAAGAAATGCATAATCATATTTTTGGCATAATTATAATGACTCGCTTTTTTTTTTACTTTATATTAAGCCACACTTGAATTTTTTTTTCCTTCTACCTTGTACGGAAGCAGGCGGCAGATTCCCTGGCATGTCCGTGAGACCAAAGTACCGGGAATACAAGTCACGCGAAGATGAGAGAGATCCTGGCACGAGATCCCCCAGGAGATGGGTGAGCGCAGTTTTGCCAGTTAGTGAGATATGCATGTGTGTTTGTGTGTGTTATTGTGTGTATATATATACATATATATGATTATATATATATGATTATATGTGTAAGCATATATACATATATAGATATATAAGTGTTTATGCATATATATTCATACATACATACATGTGTGTGTGTGTGTGTGTGTGTGTGTAGACATTCATATGTCTAATGCCGTCATACTGTATTTCAGCATTCGGATGACAGTGATTCAGGAGAGAGAAAACCCTTAGCGAGGAAGGAAGAGAATTTTAGAGACCGCAGGAGACGTCGACGCTCGAGCAAAACGGAAGACGATGACCCTGCTTTCGACTCACAGAACTCAGCAGGATACTCCGCACGGCAACAAGGTATCTGTCTATCTGTCTCTGACTGCCTATGTATACGCATTTCTCTCATAGGTGGACACTCTTTGATCTAGCAGAATCTGGCACTAATCCAGGTTCCTACTGGTCTCACTCATGACGGATATTAATATATGATATGATATATATATATATATATATATATATATATATATATATATATATATATATATATATATATATATGATATATATGATATATGATATATATATATCATTCATCCTGTATGTAGATATACACACAAATTAAGAGGATATTTGTATAAACTTGGAAACCACCTCTAAGTTTAAGGGTAATTTTCGCTTTGTATTTAGGGAAAACTAAGAGATGGAGCTTTCATTCCTTCAAACTTATGCATTGTTCAGGTTTTATTTCATTTAAATCCACTGCAAATTTCTAGGCCGAAGAGTTCTAGTTGTGAATTATGCCAAAGGACAAATTCGCTAGCTGTCATGATAGCTGTTTGATAGAAAAAAAAATACCCTCCGTACAACTGCCCAACATATCGTACCGTAAAGTGGCACTGATATCTTCTCTTTATCGTCTTTAATTTCCCCTTCATTTTGGTTGTGAGAAAGAATATAAACGTCCTCTGAACATGCATATCTTTTTGGAAACATTAACAAGGGGAATGAGTGGAATCAAAAGCCATGCAGTCTATCTCATATGTTATGCCAGTTGTTCTGATAACCTTAATAAGTAACCCTTCATGCGAATTACTTGTAACTACTTTATGCATCGTTGGGTCAATGTCCATGTCCGTTTATTGATAATGGTATCTTTCTGGAGAATGCTCACTTGCTTTTGTAATTTAATTTAAATAACACATGACATTTTTCTCCTACTTTTTACAGAAGCTGGCGACAGATTCCCTGGCATGTCCGTGAGACCAAAGTACCGGCAATACAAGTCACGCGAAAACGAGAGAGATCCTGGCACGAGATCCCCAAGAAGATGGGTGAGCGCAATTTTGGCACTGCATCGAGTGTTTAGTGCTTAAAAGACTCCCACAGAGCTACTGGGTCCATCAGGTTTTTGAGTTCTGTGAAATGATCAGCGACTGCCACGGTGAACCTCTGGGCACACTCCTCCTCCCTCAATATGTCCAAGTGAAACACTCTGGACTGACCACTGAAGAGACGGGGAGTTTTGAAGTGTACCCTTAGGGTAGCCACAACCAGTCTATGATCAGTGCCACAGAACACGGCACTCTGGTAAACCCAGCAGTTCTGGAGGATCCTCCAGTAAGGTCTAACAAGGGTGTGGTCAATCTCCTTGGCCATAGTACCCATATCACTGTACCATGTCCAGTGATGTAGGTTGAAGTACTGACACCAGAAACCAGAAATCCTCCTTTTCTGGGACCTAGCAAAGTCCCCGAGAGGGAAGCTATTCTTGCAACTGAGATCAGCTCCTGAGCCATGGGGACCGACAGACATCTCATAGCCACCTCTATCAAAGCCTGATACTGCAATGAAACTACCCAGTACAATGTGAATATCTCACCAGGGACATTTGTCTGCCACAGATGTGTGTTTGGCATAGAATGCCTCTTTCTTATTGAGTTTACAAACATTGGTAGAAGCATGCACAGCAACAAGAGACATGGAGCCAAAAGAATGCTTCATTCTCAATGCCATAATAAGCTCATCTACCAATGTTATCTCTACTACCGACGGTTGAAGTCGGCTACTCCCTGGAGATGGTGACCATCACTCCAGCCTAACCAGTACTGATTGTGCAGCTGCCAGGTCTTCTCACCTCCAAAAGGGCAGTCTCCTTAACTCCCAACCACTTCAGTCCCTGGATAGGAAGGGTAACTGCTCATCCTGCCACAATGACTACTCACATACCTCATATTGGGGGGGTTGCCTTCCAGGGCGCTGGTGGGACGAGTAACTCTCATGCCCCTCCTGCACGGGACCCACAGCCCACCTCATTTGCTGGGTAGTAAGGGCAGTACCCCTCCCCCCAGTATTTCCATTTCTATAATATGTTACCAGTAGGTTTTATCTGAGGGGAGGAGGATTGCCAAGGCTTACCTCCCTAGAGCTGCCCATTAACCCCAGAGGGACTGAGGGGCAGGAGTTGGCACAAAACCAGGACATGTCCACATGCCAGAAGCCATGACTCCATATCTCTGAGGCGTCCTGCTGCCCCAAGATCTCCCACAGTTTAGCCTCGGACTGCAAGGTGCCCTATTTCCAAGGAGAGGCTGTGAACTAGCAGAGGAGGCTTATGCAGAGCTGCTCCCTTTTTCGCACTAGGCTAGCCAGCGGTGCCAGCTGGAAGCAAGAAGGCATGCAAGCACTTAACACTATCTGGACTACAACACCATCCCCTTGCATTGCCCTGAGAATCAAGCACCCACCCAAATATATATATACATACATATATATTTATGTATATATACGCACATATATATGTATACATATATATACATTTATATATATATATGATATACACACCACATATATATATACATTCATACACGCACACACACACAAATATATAAATATATATATATATATATATATAATATATATATATATATATATATATATATATATATATATATATATACATTATATATATAAATATATATATATATATATATATATATATATATATATATATATATATATACATTATATATACATACATACATTATATATATATATATACATACATTATATATATATATATATATATATATATATACATTATATATATATACATACATTATATATATATATATATATAATGTGTGTTTGTGTGTGTGTGCTTACATATATATAGCGGATAATTATAACGCCATCATACTGTGTTTCAGCATTCAGATGACAGTGATTCAGGAGAGAGAAAACCCTTAGCGAGGAAGGAAGAGAACTTTAGAGACCGCAGGAGACGTCGACGCTCGAGCGAAACGGAAGACGATGATCCTGCTTTCGACTCACAGAACTCAGCAGGATACTCCGCACGGCAACAAGGTATCTGTCTATCTGTCTCTCTGACTGCCTATGTATACGCATTTCTCTCATAGGTGGACACTCTTTGATCTAGCAGAATCTGGCACTAATCCAGATTCCTACTGGTCCCACTCATTCCGGATTATATATATATATTGATATATGACATATATATATCATTCATCTTCTATGTAGATATACACGCAAACTAAGGGGGTATTTGTATCCAAAGGGGAGTCTCGCACCAAAACAAACTTATAAATCACTTCCAAGTTTAAGGTTAATCTTCGCTTTGTATTTAGGGTAAACTGAGAGATGGAGCTTTCATTCCTTCTCATGATTCATAAGTTTTTCAAACTTATGAATCATTAAGGTTTTATTTCATGTAAGTCTACTGCTTAATTTAATTTGATTTAAATAATACTTGAAATTTTTCTCCTACTTTTTACAGAAACTGGCGGCAGATTCCCTGGCATGTCCGTGAGACCAAAGTACCGGCAATACAAGTCACGCGAAGATGAGAGAGATCCTGGCACGAGATCCCCAAGGAGATGGGTGAGTGCAGTGTTGCCAGTTAGTGAGATATGCATGCGTGTTTGTGTGTGTGTATATATATGTGTGTGTGTGTGTGTGTGTGTGTGTGTATATATATATATATACATATATATATGGTATAAAAACCCACAATATAGAAACTAGATTTATTGAAAATGAGACGACAGTTTCGGAATCCACCTGGATTCCATCCTCAGGCAGCTGCAACTGCAAGCCTGAGGATGGAATCCATTGGATTCCGAAACTGTCGTCTCATTTTCAATAAATCTAGTTTCTACATTGTGGGTTTTCTACCATAGTATCAACATGGTAGAATGTTTTCTTCATTCATATATATATATGTATATATATTTATACATATACATATATATAGACCATCCACCCTTAGGTGGGTCTGTGACAGGTATTGTCACATCACTTGCATCCAAACAGACTCAGCCCAATATTTATGATCCACAACTTGATCTGAGATGATCTGTCCTTCCACTGAGCGGACTGTAGTCATTGGTAGGAGTATGCACAGCAACAAGAGACATGAAGCCAAAAGAATGCTTCATTCTCAATGCCATAATAAGCTCATCTACCAATCTCTACTACCGACGGTTGAAGTCGGCTACTCCCTGGATATGGTGACCACTCCAGCCTAACCAGTACTGATTGTGCAGCTGCCAGGTCTTTTCACCTCCGAAAGGGCAGTCTCCTCAACTCCCAACCACTTCAGTTCCTCGATAGGAAGGGTTAAGGTTAAGCCTCAGGCAGTCGCTCCAAGTGGGTTCCACCTCTGCCTCCCCTGCCGACGCTGCCTCATATTAAGGGAGGCGACAGACTGTGGGGCCCAGTTTCTACCTGTGGGGTTTCCTTGGGCTTTGTCCCACATACCTCATACTGGATGGGTGACTGCCAGGGTGCTGGTGGGATGAGTAACTCTCGTCCCCATCCTGCACAGGGCCCACAGCCCACCTCACTTGCTGGGTGGCAAGGGCAGTACCCCTCCCCCCAGCATTTCCATTTCTACAAGATGTTGCCAGTAGGTTTTATCTGAGGGGAGGAGGATTGCCAAGGCCCACCTCCCTAGAGCTGCCCATTAACCCCAGAGGGACTGAGGGGCAGGAGTTGGCACAGAACCAGGACATGTCCAAATGCCAGTAGGCCATGACCCTGTTTCCAAGGAGAGGCTGTGAACTAACAGGGGAGGCTAATGCAGAGCTGCTCCCTTTTTCGCCTTAGGCTAGCCAGCGGTGGCAGCTGCAAGCAAGAAGGCATGCAAGCACTTAACACTACCTGGACTACAATACTGAAAATGAAGCACCCACCCAAATATATATATATGTGTATGTGTGTTTATATATGTATGTATATGTATATATTCACATATATATATATATTTATATATATGTGTGTGTGTGTGTGTGTGTGTATTTACATACATATACACATACACACACATATGTGTGTATATGTGTATACACATATAGATACATATATATATATATATATATATATATATATATATATATATATATATATATATACATTTATATATATAATATACACACCTTACATATGTATATAGTGGATAATTATAACGCCATCATACTGTGTTTCAGCATTCAGATGACAGTGATTCAGGAGAGAGAAGACCCTTAGCGAGGAAGGAAGAGAACTTTAGAGACCGCAGGAGACGTCGACGCTCAAGCAAAACGGAAGACGATGATCCTGCTTTCGACTCACAGGACTCAGCAGGATACTCCTCACGGCAACAAGGTATCTGTCTATCTGTCTCTCTGACTGCCTATGTATATGCATTTCTCTCATAGGTGGTCACTCTTTGATCTAGCAGAATCTGGCACTAATCCAGGTTCCTACTGGTCCCACTCATGCCGGATTATATATATTAATATATGATATATATATATATATATATATATATATATATATATATATATATATATATATATCATTCATCTTTTATGTAGATATACACAGAAACTAAGAGGATATGTGTATAAACTTAGAAATCACCTCCAAGTTTAAGGGTAATTTTCGGTTTGTATTTAGGGTAAACTGAGAGATGTTTTTCAGACTTATTCATTGTTAAGGTTTTATTTCATTTAAATCCTCCGAAAGGGGAGGAGAAAAAAAAAAGAATGAGTGGGAGAGAGAGAGAGAGCATATGTGAACGCCCTTTGGACACGCATATCCTCCCATTATCACGAAAACTTTTTTGAAATATTAACAAGGGGGAATAAGAGGAATCAAAAACCACGCAAACTATGTTAAATGTTATAACCTTAACCCAATCAGCACGGATTGCGAGAATACATGCCATGCCCAGTTTATCTATTGTATTTACACATAGATGGCTCTGCAAGTAGCTTAATCACTCCGTTAATAATCGTACAAATTTCACATATTTACCCTTTTCCTTTACTTTTGGAAAGGGTCTTTTATATTATTTCATTGTCTTTAATGTTACCAAGATTTTAATAATAATTAAGTAATCATAACATCAATAACAATAGTAACAGTATCGATATCAATTGTATTAAAAAGAAAAACACATTTTCCCGCCAATTCAAGGAATGGGGAAATCAGGATCGGTCATTAGGACCTACTGATAGACTCCTTGCTGGCTGAGCAAATGTGTATGTAATAAGATTCACAGGAAACTACAAGGGACAGAACGTAAATCTAGGGTTGTTGGATTAATAGGTAATCCTTCTTTCGAATTACTTATAATTGCTATATGTATCGTTGGATCAGTCTCATAGGCCAGCATATTATCATGTTTTTTTGTTTTGTTTTTTATCTTTGTAGTATATTGATCGGAAGCCTGATGTATGAGAAGTTTAAACCCAGTTTCTTGAATGGATGCATATAATACAACCCTGGCATTTGTTATGAAACCTTCCATTTATTGTTAATGGTAATTTTCAGGAGAATGCTCAGACACACACACACACACAATGTTTAACCATATATTGGCATAATTATAATGACTTGCTTTTTTAACTTTTTTTAAGCTGGCGGCAGATTCCCTGGCATGTCCATGAGACCAAAGTACCGGCAATACAAGTCACGCGAAGAAGAGAGAGATCCTGGCACGAGATCCCCAAGGAGATGGGTGAGCGCAAATTTGCCAGTTAGTGAGACATGCATGTGTGTGTGTGTGTGTTATTGTGTGTATATATATACATATATATGATTATATATATATATATATATATATATATATATATATATATATGTATATATATATATATATATGTGTGTGTGTGTGTGTGTGTGTGTGTGTGTGTGTGTGTGTATGTAAACATATATAGATAAATAGATATATAAGTGTTTATATATGTGTGTGTGTGTGTGTATTTATGTGTGTGTGTGTGTGTGTATACATATGTATGTGATGGTATATATATATAAATGCATGTATGTATGTATATACACACGCACACACACACACATACCCACACACACACACACACGCACGCACACACACACACACACACACACACACACACACACACACACACACACACACACACACACACACACACACACACACTCACTCACAGAAAAACATACATATATGTGCACACACACACATATGTATATACGCTTACATACGTAAGGGGATAACTACATTGCCATCATACTGTATTTCAGCATTCGGATGACAGTGATTCAGGAGAGAGAAAACCCTTAGCGAGGAAGGAAGAGAACTTTAGAGACCGCAGGAGACGTCGACACTCAAGCAAAACGGAAGACGATGATCCTGCTTTCGACTCACAGGACTCAGCAGGATACTCCTCACGGCAACAAGGTCTCTCTATCTTTCTATCTGTCTGTCTGTCAGCCTTCCCCTTATTGATGAAATGTATTCTAAGCCAACCGCTCTGTGACCCGCCAGCATCACGAACCCAGGGTCTTGCTGATCCCCTTCTAGGAGGAGTTATATATATATGTGTGTGTGTGTGTGTGTGTGTATGTATATATATGTATATATGTATATATATGTATATATGTATATACACACACACACACACACACATATATATATATATATATATATACATATGTGTGGGTGTGTGTGTTTGTGTGTGTGTGTGCGTGTGTGTGTGTTTGAATATGTGTATATGTATATTTTACCCTTTTTCGAACTACTTGTAATTTCTAAAAGCATTGTTTGAGCGTTGTCATAAGATGACGTATCGTCGTGAACTTTTTTTCACCTTTGTAGCACATTTATTCGAAGCCTGATGTCAATAAGTTTAAATTCACGTTCTCAGATGGCCGTGTGTACAGAAGCATGACCATAGCACTTCGTATACTTATTTTTGTATTTGATTTGAAACCTTCCGCCTACGGATAAGGGTGTCTTTCAGGAGCACTCCACAAAAATCTTCACCCCCCCCCCTCAAAAAAAAAATATATATATATATATACATATATATATATATATATATATATATATATATATATATATATATATATATATATATATATTAAACGTACTGTATGTATGTTCAAAGCTTAAAGTGATTCGGAAGACTGGTGTCATATATTTACATTTCACAGAGAGAGAGTCAGCCCTTCTTACAAAGACTCTTCCTAGACTAGTAAGAGCAATGATAAGTAACACATCTTTGACTATTAGTGGTACATGGGCAGGGAGGATATAACAGACAAAGATGAATAGGATAAATAAGCCATGTGTTGTGTTGGGTGTGGTGCGTGGGCGGTATGAGGTGTTTTCTCGAGGATAATTGCCTTGACTTGATCCTCTGCAAGTCGCCTCTTTCCCTGTTCATGCGACCGAAGACATAGCTTACGTGGACGCTATGATTCGGGGGCAGACACTACGACCTACTAATGGCTACTAATCGCCCTCTCGGAATACATTTAAATATATCGTAAGCTTTACGACCGTCATGCACAGACACAGAGAGAGAGAGAGAGACGAAAATGGATGCATAAGTGCGTAACGATATACATTGGTATCACTATAATGTATATATTTATTACACTTCTTGTTAAATAAGGCTTGATATTTGCCTTCCGATCTTGTACAGAAACTGGCGCCAGATTCCATGACTCGTCCGTGAGACCAAAGAACAGGCAACACAAGCCACGAGAAGATGTGAGAAATGCTTCCCAGAGGAAGTTGCCCAGATGGGTGAGTGTAATTCTGAATTATATATATATATATATATATATATATATATATATATATATATATATATATATATATATATATATATATATATATATATATTAGTAATTGTCCTGGTGTTCTTCACAGCGATATATATATACATATATATACATTTATATACATATATATATATATATATATATATATATATATATATATATATATATATATATATATATATATATTATATGTGTGTGTGTGTGTGTTAGTAACTGTCTAATGTTATCCATCAGCTAATGTATGCAATGAATTGATTGAGTTGATGAATAAGGATTCAGATAATTATACCTTTCTGTTCTAAATATTGTGTTATCAGAGAAATCAATTGCACCAAATCTAGGAAAGAAAACATGATGACATAAAAACAGGAAAGATTTATGCGTAATAGTTTTACTGGGAAAAGCTAGGAATGCCTATAGGGACGTCATACTTCATTTCAGGATCAAGATGACAGTGACCTCGAAAATCAAGATCCTTCCTTCAAGCTACGCGAGCTAGCGAGATACCTGGCGGACAATGGGTTTAAGGCCTCCATGGATGAACTGGAAAACGCGTTTTCCTCCAACCACTTGGCCAGCGCCCTCAAATATAACCCCCATGTTTTTGGCACGCACAAGAGATCGGTGGTGCTGCAGCCAGAGATTAAGATCTGCTATTCTTACACTGATGACAGCGGGTGCCTTAAAAGATCACAATGCGATGATATTCATATCTGCCCCGAGTTTTTATCTGGTGACTGTGAATTGGCATCTTGTGAATTGGGGCATAAGTGGGACACCACTCATAACAAAAGGGTATTGAGAACTTTATATCTAGATGGTCTAAATTCCAGTCAAATACTTTCTCTCGTAAACTAGGACGATGCCATAGAAACCTCTCCTGTGACCACTAAATTGTTGTAAGGAATCCCAGAAAATGTCATAGGACTGGTAAGCCTCACATATCTACCTCAGTTTTGTTATCCGACTGAATGATTCTTCTAACAGAAATATCCAGTTGCAACTCTGAAAATTTCCAGCTGTTGCAAGCCCATCTCGGAATAAATTACTAGCGACTGATATTAAAGTTTCTCACATAACTCATAGTACACATAGATCATCCTCGGATAATGAATAATTTTGTATTAATTGTCTGTAATGTTATCTGAATCACAAGGACTGTTTTAACATTCATGATTTCTTTTATATTCTTAATAACCTTTTGTAAAATTATTTCCAGTTATATACATATGGACATGTATATATACAAAAAAAAATAAATAAATTATATCAATATATCTATCTGTTTAGCTGTCTGCCTCATATGTATACATACACACATGTGTATATAAACAAATATATGTATATATATTGTAAAGTTGCTGGTCTATAATGAGGAGCCCGACTTAACCCATTGCCGCCGGGGAAAATGAACAGAAAATGGGGAAAATGAACAGAAAATGGGGAAAATGCTCTACTCATTTTTTATATTTTTTTTGAAATATCTCTGTACATAGATGGCTCTGCTAGTCCTGATTTCATCTTTCCTTGAATTGGCGGGAAAAAAACGTATTCTTACTTGTGCTATTAATAGAGATGGTGTTATTTTTAACAGCAAATTAGAATAACGTTAAATATTTTCGTAAATCGATGAAAAGGGTGAACGGGCGAGACAGGCAGTACTCGTAATTGGCTCATTGGTGACTTAGTACAAGTGTAGCCATCTATGTGTAAAAACTATCAAACTAGTCGACTCACAGTGGGCATCCCCTGCGGCAATAAGTTACCCTAGCCTCGTGAAGCGAGCTGAAGCCTCTCTTGAAGCGCGAACGACTTAGGGACGCAAATAAGGGTCCCGTTCACTCCCCTGACCACTTGATACATACCCTGGGCCTGTGATATGGTAGCGGGCAGTGACCCAGGATCCCACGAAGGCTTAACGTGTATCCTGAGCGGAGATATGTGAACTAAAGTCCTTGTGGCTCAGCCTATCGTTTAAAATGCGATGAATAAGAGAACTAAAAGATACTGAAATGGTTAAACTGCTTAAGGCCTAAAATGTAAAACAAGAACACTCTAAAATTACGTGACTTTACAAAAAAAAAAAAAAAAGAAAAGGACTAAAGGTTAAACAAAAACGAAGCGAGAAAAACCGAATCCTGAAGTAAATCAGGTCTAAAAACACTAGAAATAATGAAAGCACGATAAAACAGAAATACGAAGATAACACCCAGCAAATGCCCCAGGCAAGTAACGGGAAGTCTGCTCAACACAACCTTTGTTCTGGTGACGTCTCAGGCCGAAGGAAATCCAGAGGGAGTGACACTAACAACATAGATCTCTCTTTATTGTTTTGGCAGTTCCGTATTTACATATGGACGTCTTGATGAATATTGAAGTGTGAATGATATGTAGCAAGACAAACGAGAAGGGTAAAAAAAGAAGTAAAAAGTAAAAATGCAGAGACAGATCATTAAAACCATTGAACAATAAAACTTCTTAATAAGTACTGACGTCATTGACTTCGCTAAAAAAGCTAAAACGATACCATTCACGGAAAACATAAGGCCACTGCAATTTTTTTTTATTGTTTAGCGAGCCCGCAGCATTCAATTTTCGCGAAATGTGAAAAAAAAAAAAAAATCAAATTGAGGTTTTGAAAATTTTCATTTTCAAATTTCGCGAAATGTGAAAAAATATAAAATTGAGGTTTTGAAAATTTTACATTTTCAAATTTCGTGTAATTTCAAAAATTTTATTTTTATTTCTCCTGCATATACATCCTCAGTGGAAATGTCCTGTAAAGAAAAAAAAAGCCTCAGAAGAGAATTTAATTTTTATTTTTTTTCCTATCTCCTACTTCCTACCAGAAAATCTGCTCGCTAAACAATAATAAAAAAAAATTGCAGTGACCTAAATCTAAAAACATTTTCAAGGTAAAATCACATGATCAAAATACAAATACAATATAATAAAATAAAATATAATAAAAAGTCAAACTTGCAATACAACAAGGGCTCGTCTACAGATGGAGGGAAAAGCTAAAAAAAAAAAGTCTAAAGAAATTAATAATTAAAATGATAAAAATCTGATTGATAAAAAAAATATATATTACGAAGGCAATAAAAGACTTCAATCATTACTTAAAAGAACGAAATAAAACGGAATAAGTGATCAACGTGACTCAGGGGCGAGTTTGAAGAACATCCACAACATATATATGTGCGTGTTTGTGTTTATGTGCGTGTTTGTGTGAGCGTGTGTGTTTGTGTGTGTGTGTGTTTGTGTTTATATGCGTGTTTGTGTTTATGTGCGTGTTTGTGTGTGCGTGTGTGTTTGTGTTTATGTGCGTGTTTGTGTGTGCGTGTGTGTTTGTGTTTATGTGCGTGTTTGTGTGTATGTGTGTTTGTGTGTGCGTGTGTGTTTTTGTGCGTGTGCGTGTTTGTGTGTGCGTGTATGTTTGTGTTTGTGTGCGTGTTTGTGTGTGTGTGTGTGTGTGCGTGTTTGTGTGTGTGTGTGTGTGTGTTTGTGTATATGTGCGTGTTTGTGTGCGTGTGTGTGTGTGTGTGTGTTTGTGTGCATGTTTGTGTGTGTGTGTGTGTGAGTGCGTGTTTGCGTGCGTGTTTCTGTGTGTGTGTCTGTGTGTCTGTGCGTATTTGTGTGTGTGTGTGTGCGTGTGTGTCTGTGCGTATTTGTGTGTGTGTGTGTAGCTGTATGTCCATATGTCTGCATATTCACTCAAGTAAGCCGTCGATAATCTTTGGTCGGAGAATTTCGTCAGTGTCGCTTATGCCATCAGTCATGTTCCCCCAAAATAAAGGTCTTTCAAAATAGCAAGGTCCTGTCAGGAGTCACTAGCAGCAGCGGCCTGCAGCAGCCCAGCCCAAAGGCATGAGATATTGCTATTTTGGAGGAAATTGTGGTGGTGGTAGGCTTTTTTTTCTCCATCAACAGCACTGGGCTTTTCTTCAACAGCTGTAGGCTCTTCTCCACCAACAGCTGTAGGCCTTTCTCCAACAACAGCTGTAGGCTTTTCTCCACCAACAACTGCAGTATTTTCTCCAATAAATGTAGGCTTTTCTCCACCAACAGCTATAAATCTATTCTCTACCGACAGCTGTAGGCTTTTCTTTGTCAACAGTGTAGGTTTTTCTCCAAAGAGCTGTACACTTTCTCCACCAACAGCTGTAGTTTTTTTCTCCACCAACAGATATAGACTTTTCTCCAACAACAGCTGTGGGCTTTGCTCCACCAATGCCTATAGACTTTTCTCCACCAATAGCTGTAGGCTTTTCTCCTTCAATAGCCATAAGTTTTCCTCCACCAACAGCTATACACTTTTCTCCACCAACAGCTAGACTTTCCTCCACCAACAGCTATACACTTTTCTCCACCAACAGCTAGACTTTCCTCCACCAACAGCTATATACTTTTCTCCACCAACAGCTATACACTTTTCTCCAACAGCAATAGACTCTTCTCCACAACAGCTTTACACTTTTCTCCACCATCAGCTATACACTTTTCTCCACCACCAGCTATACACTTTTCTCCACCACCAGCTATACACTTTTCTCCACCAACAGCTATAGACTTCTCTCCACCAACAGTAACAGACCTTTCTCCACCAACAGCTGCCACTGTCAGAGAGCTACTTGAAGTGAATTTCGTAAGCGGAATTTCCCTGCATTTCCCTGTATGCTCAATACAACTTCTTCCCCATCATCAGAGTTCTTGTCACTGCCCGAATACAGATACACACGCAGTTATTTATATAGTTATTGGTGTCCAGTGTCAATAAATTATTATTATTAGTGTCATTATCAATAAATTTATATATCAGTGTGTGTGTGAGTGCGTGTTTGTGTGCGTGTTTCTGTGTGTGTGTCTGTGTGTGAGTGCGTATTTGTGTGTGTGTGTGTGCGTGTGTGTCTGTGCGTATTTGTGTGTGTGTGTGTGTGTAGCTGTATGTCCATATGTCTGCACATTCACTCAAGTAAGCCGTCGATAATCTTTGGTCGGAGAATTTCGTCAGTGTCGCTTATGCCATCAGTCATGTTCCCCCAAAATAAAGGTCTTTCAAAATAGCAAGGTCCTGTCAGGAGTCACTAGCAGCAGCGGCCTGCAGCAGCCCAGCCCAAAGGCATGAGATATTGCTATTTTGGAGGAAGTTGTGGTGGTGGTAGGCTTTTTTTTCTCCATCAATAGCACTGGACTTTTCTTAAACAGCTGTAGGCTCTTCTCCACCAACAGCTGTAGGCCTTTCTCCAACAACAGTTGTAGGCTTTTCTCCACCAACAACTGCAGTATTTTCTCCAATAAATGTAGGCTTTTCTCCACCAACAGCTATAAATCTATTCTCTACCGACAGCTGTAGGCTTTTCTTTGTCAACAATGTAGGTTTTTCTCCAAAGAGCTGTACACTTTCTCCACCAACAGCTGTAGTTTTTTTCTCCACCAATAGATATAGACTTTTCTCCAACAACAGCTGTGGGCTTTGCTCCACCAATGCCTATAGACTTTTCTCCACCAATAGCTGTAGGCTTTTCTCCTTCAATAGCCGTTAGTTTTCCTCCACCAACAGCTATAGACTTTTCTCCACCAACAGCTAGACTTTCCTCCACCAACAGCAATAGACTCTTCTCCACAACAGCTTTACACTTTTCTCCACCACCAGCTATACACTTTTCTCCACCAACAGCTGTAGACTTCTCTCCACCAACAGTAACAGACCTTTCTCCACCAACAGCTGCCACTGTCAGAGAGCTACTTGAAGTGATTTTCGTAAGCGGAATGTCCCTGCATTTCCCTGTATGCTCAATACAGCTTCTTCCCCATCATCAGAGTTCTTGTCACTGCCCGAATACAGACACACACGCAGTTATTTATATAGTTATTGGTGTCCAGTGTCAATAAATTATTATTATTAGTGTCATCATCAATAAATTTATATATCTACTGGTGTCCACTGTCAATAAATTATTATTATTAGTGTCATTATCAATGACAGTGTGTATATATATATATGCATGTGTGTGTGTGTATATATATATATATGCATA